GTGGTCACAAACGGCTGATGGTGGTGGTGCCAATTGAAAGAGTTCATTTCAAGTTCACTCTTAGTTCAACTGGACGCTGAGCTCGACTGATGCTAATGATATACCAAGCATGAGAGAGCGTAGACGGCTGCTAAAGATATGGTAACGATGAATATATATATATGTATATTTGGATAGTATGCATATGCCTACTCCATACATGGCTTAATTTACATATAAAATGGGAATGAAAAGTAAAAAAAATTTTTGAAAACGTTTTTAAAACAATTAAGCGCTCACTCCTACAGTCCTAAATAACCTTTTCACCTCACTTCACCTTTTTACCCTCACTCGAGGCATTCCAATGCACATAAAAATCACAGCATAAATTTTAATTTGTTGCATATTTTGTCAACAGCATTAAAAATGTCAACAAAAATCAACAAACCCTAAATATCCAGCTGTGAATTTCTTGGGAATTCCCTCATAAGCATAATGTAAGCAGCGAGACAGACGACCAAGACGAAGACGACGACGGCGACGAAAAGCATTGTAGCAAAGAAATTGATACCTTAGAGGAGCAGATGACATTATGTCGCGCAGACGTAAAAGACGGGAAAGAGTTAAGGAATATACATACACACACATTTATGTATATGTATAGTATATAAGATGTGCGTTTCGGAGTCTGAGACACTAGCGGTAGCCGACCAGTCAACGCCAACGCTCATGCATACATATATGTATATATAATAAATATATATATATATATGTTTGAAATTTCAATTCGAGCCAGTGATTGTTGTATGGGATGTATAAATTTTGTTTTTTTGGAGGTTGGTTTTCATAAAATAATGGAAATGAGCCTAATATATATAAAAAATATTTTTTATTTATGTTCGTAAAGTCCGTTCTATTACATATTATTGTAAAATACTTTATTTCCTTTTATTACATTTAATTTATTAAAATTTATCAGTTTTCATAGTATTTTATTTTTATTTGATTTGATTTTATTTCATTTATTTTCTTTTCTTTTTTTATATTTTATTCCACTTTATTTTATATTATATTTTATTCCACTTTATTTTATATTATATTTTATTCCAATTTATTTTATATTATATTTTATTCCAATTTATTTTATTTTATATTACTTCATGTTTTATGTAACTTTATTTTATTTCATTTTAATTTACTTTATTTTTTATTTGATTTTATGCCATTTTCTATTTTTTATGTTATCTTATTTTCAATTTTTTTACTTGATATTATTTTGTACATTATTTAATATTATTTAACTTTATTTTACTTTACATTATTTTAATTGTTTTGATTATTTTTTTATTATATTTGACTTTATTTGACTTTAATTTATATTATTTGATATTATTTTATTTTCTTCAATTTATATAAAAAATTTTAATATTTTATTTGTTTTAATTTATATTATTTCATTTTATTTTCTTAAATTTATATTAAAATTTTATTATTTTATTTTTTTTTTTTAATTTATATTATTTCATTTTATTTTATTTTAATTTTTAATTTTCTTTTTATTTTATTTTATTTTTTTTTCATTTTATTTTTATCATAATACATTTTATTTTACTTTATGTTATTTTGTTGCAATATGATTTAAGTTCTTTTTATTTTTTTATAAATTTGTTTTTATTATATTATGCTTTATTTTATTTTTTGATTGTGGTTTGTTTCATTTTATTATGTTATATTCAAGTAATTATTTTAAAAATCTTTAATATTTTCGGTTGTATTTATTTCGACCTTATATTTTTATATTTTTAGGGTTATTAGGGTGATGGAAAAAGCACTTGAAAAATTATTTTTAAATTTTTTATCGTCTTTTGAGAATCAGAATTTAAAAAATTCTGCATATAGTAAAAGCTTTTCACTTAAGAATTTTATGTATATTTTCGCAGCAGTCATCCTAAAATGACTATTTGTCAAAAAAGAATAAATAAGTAATAATAATTATAATAATATAATAATACGATTATTTTTAAACTATTTATGAAGAAAAACTAAAAAGGCTAAATAAATGTGGATTCATAACCAAAAAAAAAAAGAAGTCCAGTATTTTCGCCAATTTCCTATAAGCTTTCTTTGTACCACCCGAATAATTATATGTAAATAAATTTACATAAGTGCATAGCAATGAGGGAGACATATTAATATTTACTATCAACGTTTAGTTAAGGTGGGAAGAAATACCTTCTGCTTGGCGCTTAACTCTACCAATCCCATTGCTTGAGTCTTGTCCCAAGCGTGAAGCTGTCGAGTGTTGACTGACGCCTAGTGCTAAGAGTTAACAGCCACACACACCCACACACACACACACACACACACACACACCAACATGATAAACATACAAGCCTGCGCACGCTAATAGACCAATTTATGTTATTTTGATAACCTTACAATTTTTTTTTACACATCCCCATACACTTATAAGTATTTATGTATGTATATGAAGCAACCAGTTTTTGACTTTTCTCCCCGTCGTTTGCTGGGTTCACATAAAACAGTTGGTGGCACCACAGCATCCAGTCCAATAGACATGTTGCCACAATTTCAAGTAGCAATAAGCGTAGTTAAAAGTTTTACGAAGAAGCAGAGAAGTCAAATTACTTTTATTTTATACATTTTTATACGTATGCATGTTTTCTTGTAGTTGTTGTAGCAATGCTGATTTTGGTGCGTTGAATTTTTTCTGATTGCAGCGGTTTTTGATGTAGCTGGCGCCACCAGTCGAACGCTGCATTGGGCTGCGTTGAGCTGCGCTGCGTTTTGAGTAGGCAGTTTAGGTTGTGGCGCTTCTTATCGTCGATCGGAGATAAAGGTGATAATGTCCGTGGATCTGTTAGAACGCATGTAATGCCACTAACAAAGTGTATGTATGTATGTATGTGGCTTAAATGAGTGCAGCAGCTTTGTGTGTTCTGTGTGTTCGTGCGCGTGTGTCACTTTACAGATGTAAATACGCGATATAAAGACTTCTACGATTCCATATTATTTTATGTTTTTTTTTTCATAATTTTATATGTGCAGTGTGTTGTTGTCAATTTTTTTTCAGTTCATTCTCCTCCCTATTTGGGTTTTCAACTTGTATTTTTGTTGTTGGTTTGTCTAGTCATTGATTTTTTTATATGTCTCTCTTTTCTTCGCTGTTGTGGTTGCATTGTGTTGTTGGAATTCGTCTGCACGTAACAGTAAATGAGTGCATAATGTTTGAGACCCTTAATTTTTTATTTATTTATTTTTTATTTTTTTATTTTTATTTTATGGTAGCACACGATCATAAATTGTAAATTGATTACCTATTTTTATGGTTTATTTTTAATTTTTTTTTCACGGATTATTCTGAGAACTTAATATTTATATGACATTTGTCGGAATTCATAGACGATTTATGTATATTTAAAGTAATAATTATTGGGTATTTTGGGAAGTGATTATAGTTAGTTAGGGCTATGTGAGAAATTTTAGTAGAAAAAATTAAAAAAGATAAAACTGAAGGAAAATACCAAAAATGCGTTTATTTATGTAAGACATGTTTCGTCAACTGATCTTATTTTACTTCTATGGAACAGAGAAATATGAGTATTTGAAAAAAAAATCGCTCTTGTCATAAAAAATATTGATGGAATATACATTTCTTTATTTCATGGATTTTTCCCCAGTATTTCCATACCAAATAACTTAGTTTATTTTTTATTTTTTAAAATAATAAGCTTTTTTGACTTTATCAACTGAATCAACGGATTAATTTATAGTGCATGGCTGTTGTCTGGTTGTGAATTAACAAAACCCGACATTCCCCGAATGCTTCACAATTTTATGTTTCATTCCAGCCCCCACGAGCTCTCAGTCTCACTTTTAAGCATAAAAAAATATTATTGGTTCTCTCAGAAACTAGATTTTAAAACTCTTCAATAACTAAATTTCAGCTGTTGAACAATTTAATTCTCGACCTACTTGAAGGCCAAAAAAAAAGCTTGTTTTCTATAATTTTTTTCTTTAAAAGATACTAAACAAAGTATATAATTTATTTTGTTTCCATACACAAGTACAATATGTTGACAACATTTGGTGAAAATTTGAATGCAAAATAGTACAAATTAAGGCGTTGGCAGTGTCGTGAAGTAGACCGTCCAGAAGAAAGTGCTTTCGCTGTAGTCATGATAACTTTTCAATTTTTTTTTTTAATTCAAGACTCAAAAATTTTTTTTAAGTAAGTGAACTTTCCTTATCCCTGAACGAAAAAAATTTAAAAAATTAAACATTTGATTTTTGTAGTGTTTTTTGCAAAAAACGTAATTTTTGGTACAAAATTAGGCCACTTGTTGGCTTGTAAAATGAGTTGAAATCAAAGATAAAATAAATCCTTCGTTCAGGGACTACAAAAACATGCTTAAAAAAAGTGTTGCAAATTTAAACTCGATCGCTTCAATCGTCGTTGCAAAAGTTGTGACTACCGATTTGAATAAAGTGGTTTTAAGAAAAACGCGTTTTCGGTTTCACCATCGGTCAAGCCATGACGAAGACGGCGGATTATAAAACTCTCTAATTTCAATAGTTTCGTCTCGATCGACTTGAAACTTGGGGAAAATATTCCTGCCACTTTGTACTGTTATACAAAAAATTATCAAAAAAATGAATTTTTTGTAGTCTCAAGACCTGTGAAACCCCCTAACTAACTCTTGCCGCACATAACTCGGAAAATCTCGTACGTTATGCAGACGACGACGGTTTGGCGGTAAGTTTTTGGGTTTATTATAATTATTATAGCACTTTAGATATTTGAAAAAATTTTGCATCGTTGTCATAAACAAAGAATTTTTGCTACATCTCGGGCAATATATTATATAATATTTTGTTTGTTAAAAATTTTTTTTAGTTTAATTTTCAATATGTGCATATTAAATGATTATTGCTTTATTATTTCCAATATCAACACTTATTAATAACTAGTATGACATCGTAGTATTTTAAAAACTTACCAGTCTTCGCTTTGGTTTTATAAGTGGCCGATTTTGTCCATTCATTTTGTAATACAGACCACAGGCATTGCACAGATAATGACCGGTGCCATCGCGTCGCCATAATGGCGTTGATGTGGCACCGCAGTTAACGCACTCGCGACCCTCTGAAAAGAAATGAAAAATTATATTTACATTAAATTGTGTTAAAATTTGATCGAAAATGCGATAGCTTTGCAAAACTTGTTTAGATATCTTTCGTTAATATATTATTTTAGTTATCAAGGAAAAATTATTTAACTATAAAATATATAATTTTGAAAAAAAACATTTATATATGTTACTTTCTCATTTTTATTGTTGTATATTTCTAAAAATTAGTAAAATAAATTTTCAATATTTGGCATAGTATTTTTTTTTTTAAATATATTATTTACCAATTGCCTGTTTCAATATCTCATGCAAGTTGTGTTTTAATCTGCATGTTTTGTTTTTAGTTACGAAAAAACATAATTGTTCTGCTTAATTTTATAAAGTGTGAAGGCACTGACCTTGAAAGGCGCTGTAAATTCTGTACAGTCGACCACAGCCTATTGTCAACATTCGAGGAGTGGGTATTATTACACGGGTATAAAAGCGAGGCAGGTAGACAGGAGCAGGGTTCTGCACTTGCCACCCCAATAACCAAGGTAGCTTCAAAATCAACGACAACAATTCTGTCTCTCAAGTAGAGGTTAAGCAAAATTGTTAACTGTTTTCAACCAAGCGTTAGTTATGGCTAATGTGTCAGGATATGTAAAAGGGCAATGATTAAATAAACACTGGAAAACATAATGAATGACGATTGAGTCTCAGGTCACATGTAAAAGTCATATATAAACAATTTGGGCTGGCGGATCTGTCGCCAACGACTGTCTCAGACCTTTCAGCGCCACCGAATTTGTCCGAAACGGTGGACCATAGATGTTTACGTCGGTGCTGTAGTAACGTGTGTAGGTACTACTAAATTATTGTGGGGCAGCTGAATTGAAACTAGACCAAACTGCATTAAGCAAAGAAATCCTGGTATTCTTGTATGTACTGACGATGCACTACCAGTGTGAGTGTCCTGCCTACAGCCGATTGAGACTACATATCGTTCACGATGCTCCCAGCTCCAGCCTTACGTGGCTGAAAGCACATAGGAGTTATAAAAAAATCGAAATGTTCTAAAAAACGGGAAAATATATGCAAAAGCGGGAAAGCATATGAATTCTGCGTAGTTGGTCGGATGCAGCCGCTTGGCGCTTTAAACCGAGTAAACAACCACTAAAAATGCATCGCAGTTTAGAGGCATAGAAGAAGCATCTGTGCTAGATATTTTAATTTTCTTTCAACTACAATTTTCCAAAATCAATTTGTGTCTAATTTTTGTTAATAATTTTCGAAAAATATTTTTTTTTTTTGAATTTTCTAAACGATAAAATCTATTAATTTTTTTTAAAATACTATTATTATTTTTAAACTTCAATTTCAATTATTTTTCTGATTTGTTTGTAATGCAGTATTTTTTTGCTTGAATTTTGTAAACCTTTTTATTTTAATTTTTTTTTTCAAATTTTTTTTTTCAAATTTTTTTTTTCAAAAATTTTTTTTTTTTTCAAATTTTTTTTTCCAGACATTTATATTTTTTAAACGAATGCTCCTAAATTTTATTTGTGATTTTGTTTTTTATTATTATTAATATTTTTTAATATATTTATACTGCTTTATACTTTGGATTAGCCTTTTTAAAGGCTTTTGGCAAAAGTTTTATTTTTCAATTAACAAATTGTTTTGTTATTAAATAGTTTTTAAACTTTTTTGATTAATTTTTATTGTTTATTTTTTTTTAAACAATACCACTGTATTCTAGTTTTGTATATCACACGCAAATTAGCCATTTGTTTTGTAATGGTATATGAATTAAAATATTTCCTACTTGCAACAACAACTTTTATGTAATTTCGAAATGTAAGGAGAACTAAAAATTGCGATTGGTATGTACATAATCGTACATATGCTTTTATATCTACACCTTAATATAGTACATATGTCTGTGTGTCTTTTATGCATATAGAAATAATCATGCGTCTGGGCGCGAGCGAGAGGAACGCAAGCAAGCGTAAATGATGGATTCGACGGTCAGTGCATTTTTTCACTTTTATTACAAACGCAAATGCATAATTTCGTATATGTGAGCAAAGCATTTGTATCCGCTGCTGCGCACTGGGCGAGTTTGCAGCCAAGTTAACTAACCACTAACTAACCGGCTGGCGAAATGCAACCACAAATGCATACATACATACAATTATCATACACATATTTGTATGTACATAGAAATACTTCCATTAGTGAACGAAGGTATTTGAGTTGCTGTATCTCGTTTCTTTCACTTTATTTTTATATGATTATTTACAACATTTTTGGTTAAGTTTTTTGTTTCATTTAGGTTTTTTTTTTAATTCTTGCCTTTGCGACTATTATATAAATTTCTACAAATTTTAATTAAGCAAAACACAACTTCGCTTGTAAAATTTGACTAAAGGCATGAGACAAGCCTAAAAGGAATTTAAAAGCACGGAAGCAGGGAAGCAGCAGAAGAAGAATGAAAGAAATATCAGCTGAAGTAGTAAAGAGTTATTAACTATGCGTACATACAATTAAATCTACGTACAAATGTACAGCTGCGCAACGGTAATGGCAAATTTGCTGCCAGTGTCAGTGGATGTTGAGTAGTCAAAGGTCTACATGTACACATGTACATTTGTATATACAAATTTATTAAATTACAAATGTAAATTGTTGTAGGTGCACAGACGAATGTATTTTCATAGGTGCGCATGTATGCATGTATGTGTGTAGGCATTTTAATGTCTGTATTTCTTTGCATTTTAGACGCTCGTTGCCAGTTTATATATCTCGCTAATGATTCTTTCTTATGTTAAATTCATTCACTTTGTTATTGTTTGTGAAAATTTTTATTTTATTTCTTGTGTCCTTAGTATATTAAAGCGAGTTTTTATGTATATATGTGTGTATGTATTTACCAACACCACAGTGACGTACATTTTGTGGCAACAAAAAGCCAAAGTAATTATGACTAAAACCGTTGTATAGTCTCAATGGCAGTTAACATTTTTATTTGGTGCAAGTATGTATCTATGTATGTATGTGTGTATGTGTGCGAGTTTAGCTCATTTAAATAACGCTGCTGATATTTACCACAACACATTTCGTTTGCCTTCTAAATCCAACGCCTGTGCGTCAGCTAAGCGGTAAAATGTGGTTCAAATAATACTAGTAAATATGTGTACTTGTATATATATATATATATATATATGTATATATACCACAATTGTAGACATGCAAAATATGCTTAATATCACATAGGCTACGCGTTTGTTGTGGGCATAGTTTACTATATTTTTTTAATTTTTTTTTTTAATTAATTCTCTCATTTTCCTACTCTCCCTCTTAGTTTTTGGCTTACTTTCCGTTTTATAATTAGTTACAGTATCATATTTTCATTTTTGACTGGAATGTCGGTTTTATTGCTTGTTTGTGTAGTGATCTTTTTAACGGTAACTTGGTTTTGAGTATTATTTTTTAAGTCACTGTGTTTGTTTTGCTGTTAACTTTCTTAATATTTTTCATTTCTATTTTCCCTAACGCCAAACAAATTTTTTGAGTTTAATTTTTTGTTGATTTTTTTTCGCATTTGAATTTTCGGTTCGTTGGTTCATTTATGATGCGCATTTATGTTTATACTATTGTGTATATGTATGAAATTTATAGCTGTAAATACATTCAAAAATTTTATGTTTTTCCCCCAATTTTTTTCTCATTTTTCCGCTACACTGCTAATGATTCGGGCGTTTACAAGTTAATTAGACGCATTTAGTGTTACCGTTATTTCTGTATTATGCTTTTACAATGATTATATGTACTACTTAATTTCAATTATATCGTTTTTGTATGGTAAATTATTTTTTAAGTGTGTTTTGTGATTTATGATTCGTTTAGAGGATATGTGGTTATTAGTTGAAATGCAGATGAGAGTTTTAAATTTATTACAACACAAACAAAATAAAAATAAAAAATATATTGTTTACATTTATAATTTATTTTTTCTTTACAAAAACAGTTTTGAAAATAAATGATTTTAAAAATTATATTTAAAGAAAAACTACTAACTTCAACAAATTTAATACATAAACTTCTAAAACCGACTTTAAAAATCATTGAAATATAAATTAAAACAGAACAATATAAAATTTCGATTTTTTTAACAAGAATCGAGTGTTATTAAAATTGTTTATTTATGTTTCATATTAAATAATTTACAAAAAAAAGGAATCAAGTTTTATTAAAATTATATTATTTATACAATATATTTATATTTTTTATTAAATTATTTACCAAGAAAAAATTAAAAACCATTTTTCCGTTTCAATTTTCCATTTTTTGCCTTGCAGCAGTCAGCGACAGCATTTCATTCACTACGCTATTGCATTCCAACAACTAATAAAAACCCACATTTTATTATAGCCATTACATTTTCCTGACCAACTATCATTTAGCATTTAATGTCACGCCAAATACCGAAACCAATGCTCTTTACTATAGTACATTGCGCACGTAACAGTTACATAATCAAAGTGTCAATGCACAGCTTTGTATGTATGTTTTGTATAAATGGATGTGGTCTCTTTAAAGCACGGTTTTGATAACTGCTGATGTAGTGTAAGAAAGTTCATATTTTATTAGAGCTTTTTTGAGCTTTAATGAAAGCTTCTGTCTAAACTTTCATTGTTATAAAAAAATACAGAGTTCCAGAAAGTACTTCTTTTCTCCATGAAAATTAAATAAGCTGAGATAGGTAAAGCTTTCCTTAGCCCGCCGATGAAGCTTTAAGGCTTCAAGCCTATAAATCAAATTGAAATGTGAAATAAAAGACATGCAAAATTAGCTGCCCATGTAACTTTCGTTAAGCACTTAAGGCTTATTAATTTTCTTACTGAAGAATAGAAATTTTAGTTACAAGTCAAAACACTTAAAGCTTATTAAGTAAATTTTCTTGCCCATAACCCAGATTTATTTACTTTTAACTGGAGAAAGAAATTGTAAAATTATAGAGAATTCAAAT